ATAATCACAAATTGGCAAATGCATATGAAGGGGTTAACTTGAGGTCTGGATCAGGATATTTTAATTGAAGGAAGTTTTCTGTACCCACTGCGTTCTAAATAGAGGACTTGTTCATGTATAGTTCTGGATGCGAGTACCTTTGGTGGCACCAGAGGACCTGAGAGATGATATAATCGAGAATGCACCAACTACACACACAGAGGAGTACAGTGGAGATGAGAAGACATGGATGTGGTATGTCTCCTTTTGCTGCTGTACGAGGGCAAAGGGTAGGGTGAGGGGAAGTACAGGGTGGAACCTGTAGGGTAGTAGTCTCCTTGAGGTATGGGGTTTTTTTTTTTTTTGGTTATTGGTGAGCCATATGTATTTGACTATATTTTTCTGTATTTGACTCTGGACAGGTGGCACAACTTCCGGACCTTGTGTGACTATAGCAAGAGAATTGCAGTTGGTAAGTCCACAAGGGCCTTAGGCTATGTATCCCTTCTCTGACTTCCTGTGAATAAGAATCAGGAGTTTCATGTAGACTTGGCTGCTGGGCAGTTTTGCTATTTTTCTGTACTTCGGTATGCCTTGCTTGTAAGGAGTCAAGAGATCTTGCACAAAACAGCAAGGAAAGGCTTCTTTCTTACCAGTAGTTGACAGATGTTTCTTTTCCCTTGTGTAGCTCTTGAAATTGGAGCTGACCTCCCATCTAATCATGTCATTGATCGTTGGCTTGGGGAGCCCATAAAAGCAGCCATTCTCCCCACCAGCATTTTCCTGACCAATAAGAAGGGATTTCCTGTTCTTTCTAAGATGCACCAGAGACTGATCTTCCGGCTCCTGAAGGTGGGTGGTAGAAGGGTTCTAAAGGTGCTCCAACTAATCCTTTTGCCTTCTTCCCACATGTATGATGCTTTTTTTCCTATGGGGGTGAGTCTTTTCCTCTCTGGGTTCTGGAAAACAATTTCAGCAAAATTGGGGGTCTTGAGAAGAAAAAGGCAAATGGCAGTAGGAGCCCCAGAAATATTTCATAAGGAACCAGATCTCGTGAGAACTTTGCACAAGATTTCATTTAAGAAGTTACAGCGAGGATCCATGGGGCCCTTTGAGCCAGGCTGATGCTAATATGGCAGAGGAGGGCTTGATAAGTTCACTGAAGCCTCATGCTGCTTTTATTGGTATTTGGAGAACTGCTGGTCTGGGCCTTATTTTATGTATGCTAGAACTCTTTGGCCATAAGGTATAATAATGTCCCAGAATCTTGGTTCAAGGACTGTGTCTGACGGTCTGACTTCTCTCACAGTTGGAGGTGCAATTCATCATCACAGGCACCAACCACCACTCAGAAAAGGAGTTCTGCTCCTACTTGCAATACTTGGAATACTTGAGCCAGAACCGCCCTCCACCCAATGCCTACGAACTCTTTGCCAAGGGCTATGAAGACTATTTGCAGTCCCCTCTCCAGGTGGGTTTGGAGTGCACTGAGAGGAGGGAGGTTGGGGGTACGGTAGGGAATGTCTCTTGAGAGTAGGTTTCCTAAAATCCTATCAAAGCTCAGGAGGCAGTGGGAAGGTTTTGGAATCCTGGTGCATTGTCCTTGCCAGAAACTAACTTACTTACTTTGCCTCTTTCCTCTTGCTCATCAGCCACTGATGGACAATCTAGAATCTCAGACATATGAGGTATTTGAAAAGGACCCCATCAAATATTCTCAATACCAGCAGGTACAGTGTGGGTCCCAGATTGGGTCAAGCACAGGGCTGGGATGGCCTACGTAAGGATAGGATTATAGCCATGAGGTTGTCTCTCCTTCCCCCCAGGCCATCTATAAATGCCTGTTAGACCGAGTGCCAGATGAAGAGAAGGATACCAATGTCCAGTGAGTGCCCTTCCCATGATCCCAGAGATTTGTGTGCCTACTTCTCTATATGCTGAGTCATCTTGACTCTTCCCTTTTTTTTCTTAGGGTGCTAATGGTGTTGGGAGCAGGCCGGGGTCCCCTGGTGAATGCTTCCCTGCGGGCAGCCAAGCAGGCTGACCGGCGGATAAAGCTGTATGCTGTGGAGAAGAACCCAAATGCTGTGGTGACGTGAGTAGTAACCCCCTTGCTGGGAAGTTTGTCCACAGTACCAGTTTTTCTTATCAGTATCCTCACTTGTATTACTCTGTTTCAGGCTAGAGAATTGGCAGTTTGAAGAATGGGGAAGCCAGGTGACAGTAGTTTCATCGGACATGCGGGAATGGGTGGCTCCAGAGAAAGCAGACATCATTGTCAGTGAGCTTCTGGGCTCCTTTGCTGATAATGAACTGTCACCTGAGTGCCTGGATGGAGCCCAGCACTTCCTAAAAGGTGCCTCCAGGCTGGGGTGTACTGAGTAAGGGGAATGGATTATCAGCTGAGAAGGCTACAGGGGGTGGGGGGGATTGGATGGGATGGCAGCCTAGGAGGAGGTTACAAGGTTTAGGGGACGGTGGGCTGGATTTGGGTCAGTGCCCTTAGCAAATGAAGTAATCTCTCCAAACCTTGGTGTTCACATTTTTAAAATAAGGGGAGTGGACTAGAGCAGAGACTCTTAACCTGAGGTCTGTGGACTTCCTGAGCTGCTGTGATATGTACTTTGAGTTTAGCTTTCATCAAGATCTCAAAGGGCTTTGTGATCCCCAAAAATTGAGAAGCACTAGATTAGAGTATCTTAGGTTCCTTCCAGTTTTAATCTTGTGTGATCTGTGAATTCACCTGAAAGTGGAATCCCCTATGACAGGAGTTGGGAGCAGGTTGGCCTGGGAATGTGACAGCATTGAGCTGCCTGGGTCTGTGAGAGGCTTGAGCCTTCAGTTAGTACAGATACACCATTTCCATCCCTTGGGAACTAATGTGGCCCTCTCGCTCTGCAGATGACGGCGTGAGCATCCCTGGGGAGTACACCTCCTTTCTGGCTCCTATCTCCTCCTCCAAGTTGTACAATGAGGTCCGAGCCTGTCGGGAAAAGGACCGTGACCCTGAGGTAAAGAGCCACTCTCTTCTGGAGGACTCTTCTCTTTAGTCCTTTCCTTTTTCTGTATTAGCATCAATTATTTTATTTTTCTGCAAAAGATGGAGAGGTGAACGAGGAGTTGGGGTTGTGGAAAAGTGGTTGAAGTAAAAAGTTTGTTTTCATCTTTTTCTGTGTCCTTGAGGCTTAAGCTTCTTTCCCTGAGGAAGTAGGTGTCTCTTACCTGTCTTCAGCTCTTGCTCTGTCTCTCGGGTCAGGCCCAGTTTGAGATGCCTTATGTGGTACGCCTGCACAACTTCCACCAGCTGTCTGCGCCCCAGCCCTGTTTTACCTTCAGCCATCCCAACAGAGGTGGGTTCCTGCCTGGTTGTGCTTTGACTGGTTGGGTGAGAGTTTGCCCTCCTGGTTTCTTCCCTTGCTGACCTGGGTCTGCCCTCTCTAGGCTTCCCTTACTGGTTCTTGCTCATGCTTACCAAATTGTCTAGGACTTCTGGCCCCTCGTCACCCATACAACTCTTCCCTGACAGATCCTATGATTGACAACAACCGCTACTGTACCTTGGAGTTTCCCGTAGAGGTGAACACAGTGCTGCATGGCTTTGCAGGCTACTTTGAGACTGTTCTTTATCAGGACATCACTCTGAGTGAGTGTCAGGGCAGTGAATGGTGGGGTATGAGCATGTACTACCTGGGCAGCTTATGTACATGTTTCATGTAGAGTTACAGGGATCCCAGGAGTCAGTGAATGGGGATCTTTGATGACTGTGTCCACAGAAGAGACTTCTCAGCCTGGGTAAAAAGCACAGTCATGGAGACGTCAGATTTTTCATTATTTTGTCCACAGGTATCCGTCCAGAGACTCACTCTCCTGGGATGTTCTCATGGTTTCCCATCCTCTTCCCCATTAAGGTAGGAATCACCTTTAAAACTCCATTAATAACTTCAGCTGTTTGGTTAGCAATGATGCTTGGCAGTGACCCATGTCCTACTGCTCTCAACAATAATTGAATCCCAGTTGTAGATGTTGGGATATTTGTAGGGACTTTCTACATGGCTTTCCCACATCTCCCCTAAGCCACTCTTTTGTCCATTTTCTACTCTGAGCAAGTGTCATCTTTTAAAAACTCAAATCTGCTCATACCACTCTACTGCTTAAAACCCTTCAGTGCCTTCCCACTGTCCTTAGCATAACAGTCAAAATCCTGAACATCGCTTGTAAGACTGGGTGTGATCTAGTTTTAACCTGCCTTTCCAGCTACTGTGTCCTTGAGTATACTGCTTCAGTCCAATGGACCATCATTTGGTTCCTCTAATACCCCATCTTCTTTCCTGCCTCAGGCTTTCATATCTTTTTTCCTTTGCCTGTAATATTCTTTGCTTATCTCTTCATCCAGCTAACTTATTTTCCAGATCTCCTTAAACATTCTTGTTTGATAAGTTTCTCTGAGTTCCTAGACTAAGTTAGCGTCCCCTTTCATAGGTGCTTTCATAGCACCCTGTACATGTTTACAGTGCTCATCACACTTTAGATTATTTGTTCAATGTCTGATTGTTCACTTTTATTTGTTCTGGTAAACTTCAAATAAATTTCATGAGGGTTGGAATGTTATGTTTTTCCATTTTATCTCCACTCTTAGCTCAGTACATTGTCACACGTAATGTATTAACTCCACCCTGAATCTCCCTGTCCTTCTTCTTATAGCAACCCATTACGGTGCGTGAAGGCCAGACCATCTGTGTGCGTTTCTGGCGATGCAGCAATTCCAAGAAGGTGTGGTATGAGTGGGCTGTGACAGCACCAGTCTGTTCCGCTATTCACAACCCCACAGGCCGCTCATACACCATTGGCCTCTAGCTCTGTCTACAAGTGTCCAGAAGCAGCTTCGGGTTCTGCTCCTGTAGCACAGAAGGTGCTATACATCTGTGGGCTGTGATTCCCCTTGCCCATCAGAGAGGAGCACTTCAGTCTGCTTTCCTGCTTTCCATCAAGGTGGGCAAAGGAAGAGAATTAATTGTAGGTCTCAAGCCAACAACCTGTGAAGACTTCAGGCCAGGACCTGAGGATTTAGTGCTGGATCTGAACTTACTCCAACAGGCATTCAGCCTCAAGCGCTCCCTGGAATAGCCCTGAGAACATGGCGGATTGACCACATTTTCAGCCCTTTCCCTGCCCATCTCTTCCTGTTTTGATGGTTTTCTGTGGGAGGAAATATAAATAAAGTGAAGTTATGGCCTTTCCTGCTCAAGCCTTGCTGCCCCCTTACTTTGTTTTCCCACACCTTACTTAAACCTAGGTGTATTCCGATCTGTGCCCTTATCCAAGATTCAAAGGAGCCTAGCTTTATTCCCTATTTAGGAAGCTTAGTGGTGACTCTTGGTCTCCTGGGTGTAGGCCTTTCTGACTAGCTACAGAGAGGTTTTATCTATTAGGACCTATGATTAGGCTTTTGTCTGGGGAGGAGGCATAGTTTGCTGCTTCAGAAAAAGATGGGGTAGTGAATAAAGCCAGCTTTCCATCTTGAGCTGCTGAACTGCCAGCTCCTTTGTTACCTTTGGTAGAGAATCTGGAAGCCATCCAGGCATTTCCAGCAAAATAGGGTTAGAGTTTGAAGTCCTATGAGATCGAGTCCAATTCTTTTTTTTTTTTTTTTAAGAATTTATTGGGGAATTGGGGGAGGGGAACAGCGTTGGGGAATCAAGGAAAGGGAACAGACAAGTTGCAGTCCTTTTGTTCTTCAGTCTAGTTGAGGATGTCGCTTCACTGGCCCATGTTGGTATTGTGATCAGCGCTCTTCCCGGCTGAGGCAGATGGGTCACTGGCCGTTGGACGGCTGCTCACAGCGGCTCATGGCAGCTCACGCTGGCTGCCGGCCACTCACGATAGCTTACAGCAGCCCACTGCAGTAGGGGCTGCAGCCCCGCTCTAGGTCGAGCTGTTGTTCACCATCTTAGCTGTAGAGGGCGCAGTGTCACTAGCCCTCATGTGAGATCCAAACCCAGCCCTGCTGCTCAGAGCTGGCATCCCAAGCCAACTCTTAGCCAATGCATGCACCACTCGGCCAGCCCCATTGAGTCCAATTCTTCATTTTACAGAGGAGGTATTTGAAATTGATAGTGATATAGTTAGTATTCAAATTCGGACTGGAACATAGGTCCTCTGACTACCTCCATGTTAGAACCAGCTACTTTTTTGGAAGTCTCAGGATGTGGACATCAGTTCCATCTCTTTCTGGTCAGAGGGCTGAGAGCACTGCTGCACCCAAGTAGTCTCCTGAGAAAATGTCTCAAGTTTACCCTTGCAGGGAGAGGTGTGTGGGGCAATGATTTGAACAGAAGGTATGTGAGCTGTAGTGACTAGACATATCTGTTAAGACGTGTTTCCCAGATCCCAAACACTTGAGAGCTGGAGGAGGTGGTTGGGAGGGTTATGTAGACCACTCTCTCGGAATGGGGATGTGGAGTCTAGCATACTTTCCGACGTGAAGCCAACAGTTGCTCTGAAGCTGTCCCTGAGAAGTCTGTCGTTACATCCTCGGCAAATAAGCGCAGGGACGGCTGAGGATGTCATTTGCACCTCCTCGTTGGCTCCGCCCTCCACGGTGGCTTTGTCAATCCGAGCGCCCCCCTGGAGTGAGTAGAAGGGTCCTTTTCTCGTGTTCTCTGCTCGGCTTCGCCTTTCTCAAGTCATTTAACCAATGAGAGCCTGGGCGGCTGCCTCAGGACACTTCCATTTTCCGGAAGTCTCGGGGAGGTTAGCCAATCAATGGGAACTTGATGGTTGCTAAGAAACATTTGGGTTTGGCTCCACCTATGCTTAGGATTTTAGCCAATGAAAATCTGTACTTTGTTGCCGCGAAACCAGTGAGATTAGATCCACCGCCTGAATGTTTCAGCGCCTGCGCAGATTGGGGAAAGTTCTGGAAGACAGCGGAGCTGCCGCCATTTTGCTGGAAGAGGAGCAGCTCAGGCAGTAGTGCTGCTTTAACTGATAAGACTCTGAAAGTCATCTGTGCTTCGCGCCCTCCAGACACCCAGAGGAACGCAGAAAACCGGGACCCCCCCTGCGGGGAACCGGAACTGGTGAGAAACTCCTTAACCCCGTCCCCCACGCAACGTCACTTATGCGTGACGTTGCCGCACGGCGCCTCCCCCTGACGTCACAGGCAGAAAATGGCGTCAAGAGCAGGATCAGGCAAACTTTTAAATTAAAATTTTTTTTGTTTACTTTGATTCGGAAGTGTTCGTTACCTAAAAGTAGCCCACTGGCAGGATTTTAGGGAGCGTCACCCTCGTGGCTGTATCCTTTACCGATGAAGATGCTGTTGGAAGGATCCCAGTGACTTGGATCCTTTTCCAAATCCCTGCAGCCCTGTTATGGGTCGCCCATGCTGGGGAGGTTGCAGCCCTGTTTAGGGTCGCCCATACTGGGGGAGGAAGCAGCGACCCACCGCGGCCTGAGAGAGTCGGTTTTCAGCCCCTAGTGCCACCATTCAGAGAAAGATGAGGGAATTGAGATTTTTTTCCTTAATCTTCAGTTTCTGGAAGACTCGTTTCATTGTGTTGTCCTCTGTGGGCTTTCCCCCGTTTTCCTTTGTGACTACGCTCTCCGTGGCAAAAGAGTATAATGAGGCCACATAATTTAGCATCTGGGACAGTGGCCCTCGCAGAGGTGATGCCAATCGGTTACTTACGGGACCATTTTTTAAAGCGTATCCTTAGCTTGTTACACAACATGGGGGCATGTTCTTATCTTTCTCATTGTTCCTGTTCTTAATTAAGCTGCCTTCAGTTTGGCGATATTTGTACCCAGCTCAGTGACCGGACCCAGGAGATGGCGCTACCATCACCCCTGGGACTCCCAGCGTTTGGTGGATTCTGCCTTGAACTTGGCTGACAGTTGTTCTTCACTCTCCTTTGCTCCTGCAGCAGTGGGGCCTAAGTGCTGGCTTGGGTCTTTACTGGACTATGACAAGGTCCAGGCACTGCCATGATTGTGGACCCCTAACGCAGTTTTTGCAGCAGGGATGGAAGAATGCTCTAGTGGTTTAATGGTTGGGATTGAGTGGACCTTGACCCGTAAGTTAGGACATGGAGAGTGTTTGAAAACTACCAGTTTGAAAATGCATAGTGTTTGGGACTTGGTGCTTTTAGGACATCTAGAAAGCTACACTAAACCCAGTGAGATTTCAAGTTTCAAAATATGCTCATGTATATGTCTGTGCTTAAATCAGTTCATTCATTTCTGAGTCTGAGTAAAAAGTTTACTCCATACATGGGTGGTTCATTTGTTAAGTGAAATATTTTGTGAGTGTGTATGTGTGTGTGTTTTAAGTCATCCTACCCTGTACTAGCACTCAACAAAGAACAATTCTTGAAATCTAGAGCGTTTTATTTAGGGAGGAAGAGGCAGATTGTAAAAAATAAAGAGGAATTTAGAAAATTTGTATAGACTTGGCAACCAAAATGACTGAAAGGAACAGTTTGAAGATCAAAAGTTTTTCTTTTTAGAACCTTTTTTCCACAATAGGCCCAATAGCGTATATTACAATGAGCCTGGTTCCAGATATTTTGAAACATACAGTATATATGCCTCATGTCTAGAAGCCACAAGGTAAGGTGTGACTAATGGGACTTGTTCTTTTGATAAACCTATCATAACATTAATTCTCCAGATGAGTACATTTAAAGATAGAAACCTTGATATGCTGTGTACTTTTTTTTTTAAGTTTTCTTTAAGGTTAAGTTATAAAGCACAAGAGAGAGGTAACCTTATATAATGGATAGTACATTAGGCTAGAGTCGGAAGACTACTCAAGAGTCAGCTCCCCCATTTGAACTTGGTGACTTCGGCAGTTCACAAAACCTCAGTTTTTCATCTGTGCATGGATCTGATATCTGGCTATAGCATATATTACCTTTGATTGTTAAATAAATGTAAGGTGTTATTATAAGAGACTGAGTTTACTGGATTTTAGACACAGCTATTTGATTTTGGTTTGATTTTCATTTTAAGCCTTAAATTTGTTTCCAAGTAATTTTTATCATTTTGCTGTTGTCAAGAATCTTATTTCTGTAACATGTCTAGTAATGTTAGGTACTATAAATGGTAAGATTAATGATTGCTCTTAGATTTGTATATTATTGCTTTATTATTAAATCATCAAATAGGCTGTGGATTCTGAAGGCAACAAGGACAGCATCGTTGGGTGATGCATTAACTGTTTTAAAGAGAACGGAGCTCTTGTGGATATGGAAAGTCTGATTATGATTGGCCTTCTAGCCTAGAAATTCTTCAGATTACCTGGGGATTTTGGACAGCTTTATTGAGGTATAGCTGACATAAAATTGTACACATTAAAATGTACAATTTGGTGGGTTTTGATACGTATAAACACCCATGAAACCATCACCGCCCAAAGTTTCCTGTGCCCTTTTGTAATCCTTTCCTCCTAGCCCCTTCTCACCTATTCCTATCCCTAGGCAACCACTGATCTGCTTTCTGTCACTACAGGTTAGTTTGCATTTTCTAGAATTTTGTATAAGTGGAATCATACAGTATGTACCTTTTTTTTTTAGTCTGATTTCTTTCACTCAGCCTAATTAGTTTGAGATTCATCCATGTTATGTATATCAATAATTTCAGACCAGTAATTTTTGAATAATTGATCCTATTGATTTTGTTTGGTGTTTTCTGTTTTTCTTATTTGACAGACCTGTGGTGGACAGACTTGGGAAAGACGATTGCTAGATGTCAAAGCTTGGGGGAGGCGAGAAGTCTCACTCTGCCTAACTAGACAGAAAGCTTCAAAGTGGGATTGGTTAAGCCTGTCTTAATCATAATCTGAGTTACCTAAACTCTAGTTGGTATTGTATGGAAAATGCTTAATGATGAGTCCCCTAATTATTGGTGTTTGGGTGGGGGATGTGGGGAAAAGCTTAGGGCAGATCTGCATTATTCTGGTGTTGCTTTGTCTTGTTCCTCATTTTTAGTCTTGTATCTTTACCTTTTTATTGGAAATATGTGCCTATTTCTAGGATTTAAGTTTAAACCAGTCATTTATTCAGAATTGTGAACAGTAGATTGGAGGCTGTTGTAAAGTGAAGGGTAATTTTGAGTACCAACATTTTCGCTTCACAGGACAGGGTCAGTATTGTATTTTGTCGCTTCTTAGATACTCAGTTTTCATCTAGACCCTTGACCTATTCTAAGCCACCAAGCAAAACTAGTTCAAATATGTAAGGTGCAAAAATAAACCTAGGATAAGCAGCAGCTGGTAAGATCCCTTTTGAGTTCATGAAACAGAACTATGTTCTGAAGTCTGTTTCTTGGAGGGAGAAGGAATATGGGGTGCTACAAGAGGAGGAAGAATATAAATGGGGTTCTTATATCTTGCTGTCCTCTCCTCAGATCCGCTACAATGGCATCTGATGACTTCGATATAGTGATTGAGGCCATGCTGGAGGCTCCCTATAAAAAAGAAGAGGTAATATTCCCACCCTATTGCTAGAATTGGGTTAGTAAGAAAAAGCATTTGTGGATCATAGGTTTCGACATTTTGTGAATCCTCATTTTCTGCTTATTTATTATGTACAATGGCTATTCATAAAAGTTAATCTTTTAGTAAGCTCTGCTGGAGACCCATACTCAAGGACTGTGCTTTCAGAGAGGGCCCCCAAAACTGGGAGGGGGTACACCACATAATGTGGTGGGAATGAGTACTTTGCTCATAGCTCCCAAAGATACGGTAGAAAGTCAGTGTACCTCAAACCTAACTGATTTCTCACTTTCCTGGGAAATAGATATCATTATAACAGATGTTGGGTAGCTAAAGTTTTGACATCAAAATCTATCACTCTGATCATTTCCTTTTGGGCAGTTTCTTCCCTTCCTCGCTTATTTCCTTTGTTAGGAGATCCCAGATGCTCAAAAATTGACTAGATTATTGAGAGACTGGATTTCATGAGCTTTATTTCTTTGTCCACTTTTGTTTTTTCTGTGTCCAATGGGATCTTTGTGTCTGCCACCTTGAACCCTGTGACATTTTCCTGGTGAACTCCTTAGGATGAGCAGCAAAGCAAAGAGGTTAAAAAGGACGGCCCTGGCAACACCTCCCCCAGCACTGGCAACAATGACAGTGGGAGCAGCAGCACCAGT